TGTATCTTGGTGTATCATGATGTATCTTGGTGTATCATGTAGCTAATTTCAATCAGCTTCCTATCACTTTTTCTATTTTTATCATTATTTTTTCAAAAATATCCCTCAGTGTATCAGCATTAATTTTGTGAGGAAAGGAGATATTTGTACAATCCTGGATATAAATCTCCTATAGAAGATTCGGAAATTAGTACACTTTCAATATATTTTGATCTTAATAATCAATTTTGATTAAAATATAAAGCAATTTCTTCTTCATATTATTATTATTATAATTGTTATTGAATGAGAGAGCAGGCTGCTTACAAACTGAACTTGGGATGCTTTGATTGGTTGATTAATTCATTCATTTTTATGGCTTATCTACCCTTTGCAGGTTATTTAAAGCCAGGAAATATTTTAGAAATGAAGAAGAAGGATTGATTGTTTGATTCATTCAATTTCTATGGCTTATCAACCCTTTGTAGGTTATTTAAAGCCAGAAAATATTTTTTAAATTGTAAGAATTTAAAAAAAATAGTAATGGTTTAAGATACATTTCTAACTAATTAACCCATAGAATAGGGGCGAAGAAGTGGATTTCCCAACGGTATTTGCATGTTAGTAAATATAATGAAGCCAACTGGAATTGGAACTCAGGTCTCTGATTAAAAATTCTTAGCCATTATCTATTACACCACCTGCACATTCAATCTTAGAGCACTTGGCATTCCCAAGCAGTCACCCATCTATCTAGGTACTGACCAGGCTTTATGTTACTTAACTTCAATAACAGGAACTGGGGTTTCAATGTGAAGTGGACATAAACCTGGTAAACCTTGTTAATTTAAAATATTTTTATTTGTATTCTCGTACTTCTTCAAATAATGACATGCATTCATATTTATTATTGTTATTGCAATATTTAGCTAAATAATTTAAATTGTTAAATATTTTGTAGTCAGGAAACTCACAAGTAGATTATTCAAGTTTTAAAAAGTTAAAAGCTAAGATTCATTCATAGTGCAAATCTGTGAATCCCAATATATGCATCATGGCACCCAGTCCAATAAAGGTATATCAGACACATGCATCACAGCCAAATGTACATGATATATTGACAGTTTTTGATAAAAGCAGCACATAATCTTGCAGGTGGGGCCCAGTTAGATGTTCTCCAGTTGAAGGGGTTTCTATATATCTAGATGTGACTCTGTTTCTCTCTTGAGGAAACCATCTTTTACCAAAAACCATTTCTCATATCCAGGAATTGTCTCTGTCTGCTGGGAAAAAAAAAACTAAGCATGAACGTTCTTTTCTTTTAACTTGTCATGCCACCTTTTCTTATACTGCTTCTTTGAAATAGTCATTTCACGTTTTCAAATGTTCATTCACTCTACATACAGCTGTCAGTTGTTGGTTATGTGCATATTACTATTGTTATTATTGTAATTATTTAGTGAGAGAGCAGCATGCCAACAAAATGACACTAGAGTACAAATATACAAGGTCCAATATAGTCATTATGACATCAGTCTGATAATGTTATACTAGGTACATGCATCACAGCCATTTGACTCTAATTTGAAGGTGCCCTGACATATCTCGGTGTAAATTCCAGGTTGCATTGACTGTCTCATTATTCATACTTAAAAAAAAAGAAAACACTCTCTATTCTCACTCTTGAACAGAAATGCATATTATTAATATTATTATTTCCTTTGATATCTGTTGTATAGTCATTTCCTTCTGGATCCCAACCAGAGACCTAAGGTTAGAAATGATATCATGACAATTTCCACTGAGCATTTTTGTAAAAAAAACAAAACAACAAAAAGGACAACCTATGATCATATACAATTTACATAGATAAAACCCTTGAGGACACATGGCACAGTGGATAAAGGCGTTGGTTGGATCCAGTGACAGGACCCAAAGAGTGTGAGTTCAACACCCGGTTAAGGCAGTGGAGAACTTTCAGAGGGAAAATTAACAGGAGATAACTGATAACTGACATCCATCAAACATGGCATGTGGAAGTAGAACAGTCTACCCCAATGAGTGAAATAAAGGGTTCAGTTCGACATTCCAACCACCTGAAGAAGCCCGGAGTGTACAACGGTCGAAACGTTGTAATAAATATGGCGACAAAGATGAGGACAATAGTCTGAATAATATAAATAATGCACATAATACCTCATCTCAGAAATATAGAAAGACCTTGTATTTTGATAGATTTTTTTTAAAGATCTTCAAAGATACATGACAGTCTGCAGGGAATTTCATTATTATTATTATTATTATTTTTATTTTCTTTGATTTCTGGCGTTTACACATTTCTTCCCGGGTCCCGCCCAGGGACCTAAGGTTAGAAATGGCGTCATGACACTTTCCATTGACAAAAAAAAAAAAAAAAAAGATTACATAGATAAAGCCCTTCGTAAGGTGTGGGCTGTACTTGTCAGAACAATTTTCTGTATCTCCTTGAGGCATGGACTTCCAGGAATCCCTTCAATTAGTCTACTGGAATTTTTTCCAACCAGTCCTAGGGCTCCAACTACAACAGGGATTGTTGATGTTCCCATATGCCACATTTTCACGATTTCTATTTCAAGGTCCTTGTACTTTGACAACTTTTTGAATATCTTCAAAGATACATTGCAGTCAGCAGGGACTGCCATATCAATAAGGAGGCACTGTTTTTGTTTGTGGTCTTTAATAACAATATCTGGGCGGTTGGCTTTGATTATTATTATTATTATTATTATTATTATTATTATTACACTCAAATCGCCATTATTACTGTAATATAGCAACAACTCTAAGTAGAAGCTTATGAAGCTTTATTTGACTCATTCTGTTTCAGTGCTGAAAATTTTTTTTATTGTGATGGATGGTTGCAAGTGAGAGGGGAGATGGGATGTGCTTATTTTATTATCACAATTATTATCATCATCATGACCACCATCATCATCATCATCATCCAGAGTACTGATGACAAAATTTAAGAGAAACTAACTCAAAATGACCCCATGCAATGTCACAGGGAGATATATATATATCTACATGTATTCTGGTAAACAAAGTTAAGCATGTTATATATTTGAACAGAAATAAAATGCAACAAAAAGAAAATTTTAAAAAATAATTGAAACTGAAATTTAATTTTGAATAAAGTGTCTGCTTTCGAAGATAACCATTTCTTTTGATTTCATTCATGAGAAGTTCTCTGTTGGAAGCCATGAAATGATAGATCTGATCTTAGTTACAACAACTGAGAGATGTGACAAGGAGGAAAGTAAATAAAAGAAGCAAGAAAAGAAAAAGTGTGAAAACAGAAATGTCTGAAAGAGCAAAAAAGAAAAGATGCCATAAAAATGTGGATATAAAGTAAAATTTTTCAAGAAAATAAGCACAAAAAGTAGAAAGCTGGAGCCCACATTTCAATACAATTTAGAACAAGCATTAAAATGTGAATACAAATCCAAGATGGCTGCCAAAATTTTTTGTGTTATTTTCTTTTTTTTTATCTCTCTCTTTGAGATACACATCTCAAGTTTGCTGTAAATGGAGAGTTTCTGATTATAAATGATGTTTAGGTACAATTCTTTTCTTGAGTGAGCAGGATGACTGTTTCTTGTATTTTCTTTGCAAGTATTTAAAATTTCATCCTTAAACAAAACTTGTACACGACAACTATGAATTTAGGAAAGGAAAAGTTACTTACAGTGTCCTTATTGAGAGCAAATCAAAATTGAACTTTGCAAGGATTTTCCAAAACTTGCTAGTTTCTAAATAAGTAATACACATAACTGCTTACATATGTGTCTATCAGTCTCCGTGTATGTCTGTTAAGAAATCAATATATAAAAATACAGTAGTGTGTATATATATTGGACATGTTTTCTTTCGAATTAAAGTAGTGACATGTGTGAATTCATTATTGGCAGCCACAATCTTAACAACATAGGATATGCAGTGTTGATAGTAGACATAGAAAGGAAACTACAAGAACTCACACAGACAGTAATGAAGGAAAGCAAGAAGAAAGGACTAAACATCAGTTGCAACATGATAGAATATATGGTTGTCAATAAAATTAACAGCCCAACATGCAAATTACAAATTGGAGATACCAAAATCAAACAAGTACAACAATTTAAATATCTAGGAAGCATTTTAACAGTGGATGAAAATGTGAGGCAAAAATCTGGAGATGAATTGGAATAGTGAAAGTTGCCTTTTCAAAGCTAAGAAAAATATTAAGAAATAGAAAAATTTTGTTAGAAACAAAGAAAAGAGCACTGAACTGTTATGTAATATCAGTGCTCCTATATGGCAGTAAATGCTGAACAATCACCTCACAGATGAAGAAGAGACTTCAAGCAACAGAAATATCGTTCTACAGAAGGATGTTGAGAATACCATGGACCAAACATCTCAAAAAGAGACAGGTGAAATTTCTCAGTCACACAAGGAAATAGGGCTTGTAAAATTTGATACTCACAAGACAGAGGAAAACAATGTCTAACCTAGCTAGTGAGAAAAAATTTTGTACTCATGACCCACCCATGAGAAACAGAGAATGAAGAAAGTTTTCCATCTGCCTGAACAAAGTCGGTCGATGATGCTAGATATGAACAGCTTCTAAAATATGTAAATGTTTAGTGAAGCAACCACGGATGTTTTTTTCTGTTTTATACTCACTAGGATCCTATTTAGATCAATTTATTGTTTTAGTAATAAATTTATTTTAGCAATGGCTTGTTATTTACCAACCATGTAATTTTTCAATTTGACCATTTATGATTATTTTTTTGTTTTGTATGTCTAGGTTTTTCTCCAACAATTTTTCTGAAGTGTTGGACAAAAATGGTTTGTTTTAAAGAATGTGCTCTGTCATTTTTAAAACAATATTTTAAATATTGTTTTAAAAATGACAGAGCACATTCTTTAAAACAAACCATTTTCTGTGGTATAAAATTTTTGTTCAGAGGTATATGTATATATATAAAATGTGTATGAATGTAGGTATAGGAACACTCTCCGACTCTCCCTTCCTCTCTTCAGTTCCCTGCTTCTCCCTCTTTCTTTATTCCACCCCTTTTTCTTGTTCAGTGAATAAGAGGTCAATGCTACAACCATAACATCTCCTAGAGACATATATCTACTTCCTTCCCTTCCTACTTTGTGTAACTATCTTAAAACACAACTTTCACTAATCTTGCTTTTCATTTCGTTTTTCAGTTGATTCCTGGAGGAATTTTTGAATCCATTCATTGTTTTGGAACTGCAAGGTCTGACAAAGTAAAATCGAATTTTATCACTCTCACAAAATAATATATTACCATGGCTTTCTGAAGTCTCTGATTTGTTAATTAATTATTACTTGCTCTTTTTATTACATTGAGCTCCTGGGACTTATATCCTCCTTGGAATTATCCATATGGATTACCAATTAACTTTATCAGATATATATATATATATATAATTTTATCAGATTTATATATATATATTATATATATATATATATATATATATATATATATCCAGGTATAAGATAAGAACAAATGGAGTATAATTCCACTGTTCATAGCATTTAATTTTCAAAAAAAGGGCTCAATGCAGAATACGAAACATGAAAGCTATTGTGTAGTGATTTTAACATGTTTTTCTTTTAATTTCCTATAATGTATATATATATATAGTAATGAAAAGTAAATGAAAATCCAAAGGAGCAATGTCTGGAGAATACAGCATGTAGAGTAACACATCCCAGACAAGCTGCAACAATTTTTTCCAGGTTTCCAAAGAAATGTGAGGTCTGGTATTCACTCAACTTGCTCCACAACTGAGTGTTTATCCTGTTCACAGCGCCATGTCGAACAATCACGTGGTCAAGATAAACACTCAGTTGTGGAGCAAGCTGAGTGAATACTAACTCAACATTGAGAAAGAGAGCTATTTATGGTGCAATGGAGCATCTCATTATGCTAAAGTGGGATAGTCCATTGCTTGGGCTGTGATTGGCTGCTGGTACCTGAGTGGAAGTATTTCTATATAAATACTAGCATGATTTCTCAGTTAGTTTGCAGGGTTTGTATTAAGTTACAACCTGCTTTATTTTTGTCTGCCAACTGGACGCTAGCTGGGACTCTTACGCCGGTAAGTGCTGTTTATTATTGTTATTCTACAATCCTAATGGAAAACAACACCTTTCCTGTTTGCCAATCCTGGGCATTTTTCTTGAATTGCTGCCTTTTAATTCATCCACTTGTGAGCAGTACTTTTCAGAATCAATTAACTGGTTACTTAGCAGAAGCTTATAGTACAGCATTCTTTTGTAGAGACATTATTATTATAAATAAATAAATATACATAGTACAGCATTCTTTTGTAGAGACATTATTATTATAAATAAATAAATATACATAGTACAGCATTCTTTTGTAGAGACATTATTATTATAAATAAATAAATATACATAGTACAGCATTGTTTTGTAGAGACATTATTATTATAAATAAATAAATATACATAGTACAGCATTGTTTTGTAGAGACATTATTATTATAAATAAATAAATATACATAGTACAGCATTGTTTTGTAGAGACATTATTATTATAAATATATAAATATAAATAGTATAGCATTCTTTTGTAGAGACATTATTATTATAAATAAATAAATATACATAGTACAGCATTCTTTTGTAGAGATATTATTATTATAAATAAATAAGAATAAAATATAAAATAGTAATAATAATGAAAATTATAAATAAAATAAAACAATATTTAAAATTTATTTAAAATAAATAATTTTTTTTTTTAAAAGCAATTCACCCCAAGCAAGGTGGGAGTGCCATTAGCATGCAAGGGGTTACAGAGGATTGAGAACAAGAGTAAAGAGGCGTGTTTGAGGAAAGGATACAGAGAAAGACAGGGAGCAAGCTCAAAGTGTCAGATGTTGATTGACATTACACTTGAATATTTAAAGATTATAGTCATGGGGGAAGCAAGTAAGGGGAAGGGAGTTCCACAGATGAGAAGTGCAGGAGAAGAAGCCGTTTGAGAAGAAGAGATGGTTACATTTTGTCAGTGAAAGGGTGGGACCGAGATGCCAGCCTGGTAGCTCACTTAAATTCATGCAGTTTGAGAACCAGTGAAAGTAGCTCGTCAGAACAGTTGCCGTGAAAATACTTGTTGAAAAGACAGAGGGAGGCCAGGGCACGTCTATAGGAAAGTAATTGTATGCTAGATGCCAGATCAGGACCTATCACATTGTATATTCATCTTTGGATTTTGTCGAGAACCTTGAGATGTACAGCAGAAGCACCAGTCCATATATGACTACAATATTCCATGCAAGGACAAAAGGTTGATTCATAGATTTGAAGGATGGACTCAGATGAGAAAACTTTCTGGCACAGCACAGAGAATCAACCTTCCTTTTGGTAGATGAGGCTATTGATTCAATGTATTTATTCCACCTCATGTCAGTGGACAGCGTGAGACCAAGCAGGTGTAACGAGGCGCTCTCGCGGAGTTGGGCATCCAATGAAATTAACATACAATTTACCATGATTTCCTGTTATTTCTGTATGTTTTATTTCCTGTCAAGCATCTGTGAACACAAGGCTAATTTTTGCTGCTATGATGTGAGTGAACCACCACACTTTCTAATCCCACCAGATGCACAGCATGACTTTCTTAGGATGAAGACCTGCTTTTGAGGTGGCTAAAGTTGGCTTATGTTGCTTAGCCCAGCATCTTTTTCACTGAACATTGCTGTAAATGATCTATTTCGCATCACCTATCACAATTTGCTTCAAAAAGTATGCATTTTCATTGCATTTATACAACAAATCACAAATGAAATGTGATCCAAAAGATTCTTTTCACTCAGCTCATGTGGTAACCAAACATCATAGCGATTTGAGTACCCAAGCTTAACTAAGCACTCATGGATGGTGGATTTTGATAAATTTAGTTTTTCTGCTAATTCGCATGTTGTGTAATGTGGGCTATTCTCAATCAATATCTTGATTTGGTCATCATCTGTAGTAGGATTCGGAGTCTGCCTGAGCATTCTTCATCAATAAGGCTACAATCACCAGCTCTAAACTTAGCGAAACACTCAGTACAGTTTTGTCAGCTAAAGCAACATCACTGTACACAGCACCTATCTTTTTTGTTGCCTGCGAGGCATTTTTGCCTTCATGGTAAAAAAAAGCATCAAGTGTCTAAAATACACTGCATAATCTTCCATTTTCATAGGGATGCAAAATTGTCACAAATTAAGTAATTTTAAACTTTCTTTCTCAAGAGATAGTTTGAAGTGTGCTCTAATTGGAAATGTAAGCATATTATATCTGTTATTAAATTTGATGTGTTCAAACGTGTTGGAACATGAATGACTAAAAATTGACATGAACTTTCTGGACAACCCAATATTTTTCTGTATTGTGAAGGTGGACAAGAATGTGTTTTTAAATTTTGTGCAATAGAACTCGTATCCGAAAAATTAAGTGTAAGACTTCTTGATAGTGGTTGTCAAACCAACATATGCACTTACTTTTTGTCAGAGATGCAATCTCCTAAAGGACATTTAAACTGATATACAATGTTGGTCTTTTGCAAAACACTGGCTGATGGAGAAGAGTTATTACGTGTGATTAAGTTGGTTGTGTTAAATTTAGTATAATATATAATTAGTTTTATTTTTTTTACTGGGATCAATGGGAAATATATTTGTACTTATGAGATTTTTTCATCTTGTTTATAGTTAGAATGCATCTGATTTATTTATATATATATATATATATATATATATATATATATATATGAGTGAACATAGAAGTCAACACTTAGAGGTAACAGTCTGTTTCATGCTAGATGCAATTGTCAGGCTACGAGTGCTGTTATTTTCCTCGGCTATTTATATATACGGGTCAGTTGTGCATTGTGGGTAGTCTATTTTAGTGGTTATTTTACCGGATGTCATTTATTTGTTTATTTATTTGGGTTAAATTATTTTGCTTGTTTTTATTTATTTTTATTTTTATTTTGTTATTTTTATTTTTATTTTATTTTTTCTTATTTTTTATATATTTATTTATTTTTTATTTTAATCGGTGTTTTTATTAACATAGTAAAAATTTGTTTATATCGCTTATTTAATAGTTTTGTTTTGGTTTGGGAAGATAATTAAAGCTATTTATTCAATTTTGGGGTTGATTGTTGTAGGTTATTCTATTATTTTGGCGGGAACAGTTTTTACACACGCTCTATCTCTGATATTGAGCACTTTATCCCATAAATATAGCACACCTTAAGACTATATTTCTTCATATATATATATATATATATATATATATATATATCAGACAAGGTGTAATTTAGATAGTATTACTTATATTTCAGCATAGGGTATCAGGTTGACCATAAAACTAATTGATCTTTTTGATTTTCAAGTGGACAGTGCCAAGACTCTATGGCTTACAAAATGGTTTATCTGCACAGAAACAAAGGCTACTCCATGTCTCTCGCCTCTGAGACATGATAGAAGATTTATATGTTAATCTGTTCGAGCAGGTTAGAATTAAGACAGAGAATTGGGAAAATATCCAGGGACAAATGACCCATTCCTCCTCGCAAAAATGACAAGATGATGCATATGTAATGTTGGCAGGAACATATTATTAGATATTGAAAAGTTATTCGCCCCACCCACTTGCCTAAATCAGTATTCTGATATTTGATCATTGAAATATTGATTGTGTATAGGGGGTGGGGATGAGAACTTATCAGCACCCCTCATAAGATTAGGTAGAATTATGAGTGGGTATTGAAAAGTTCTTGGCCCCACCCACTTCCCCAAATCAGTATTCTGGAGTTTGGTCATGATCATTGATTCGGTATAGGGGTTTGGTATGTGAATTTATCAGCACCCCCTTATAAGATTAGTGCTTGGATCCACAGATAATTTGGACAGTTGTTACACACTCTATGTTCAGAAAAAAAAATACGTGCATGAATGCAAGAAAAATATAATAAAAAAGGTTAATCGCAGGGCCTTGTCAGTCATCTTCAATGAAACATGTATAAAAGAAGGATTGCTGCCCAAATACACAATTATAAATGTGTGTCTTAGATATAAACTCTTGGGCCTTGTAGTGGGTGAAGATCAGTAGAAAAAAAGTAGTCCTTGTCCCATATATATCTGAAGGGCACTCTACGTTAAACTCACCTTGTGTCACATACTGGTACCGTGGGAGGGGTGGGGTGTGGTGAGTAGAGGTTTAACACTTACTTCCTCTTTTAAGATTGGATTGCTGGTTACTTCTACAGATTTCTCATTCTCTTTCAATCCCAGAAGACCTTTGTGTCTTAGTAGCATTATCACCTTGGTTGGGGTGAATTGATTAAAAAAAAATTCATGTTGCAAAATAAAATCATTACATTTACCTTGATAAAATCTCTGGATGAAATGTTGGTAAAGAATTGTTTTCCTTTTGACTTTATTCATATATATATATATATATTTATATATATATATATATATATATATATATATATATATATATATATATATATATATATATATATATATATATATATATATATATATATATATATATATATATATATATATATATATATATATATATATATATATATATATATATATATATATATATATATATATATATATATATATATATATATATATACATATATATATATATATATATATATATATATATATATTTTTGAACAATAAGAAAATAAAATAAAAAATTAAAATTAAAAATTAAAAAATAAAAATTAAAATATTACTGGTTTGTAGATTAATATTCTTTCGTTTTTTATTATTAATTATTCCATTTAAATTTTTAGCCATCATGGAAATACTTGCTATTTGAAATGAATGGAGAAAATGAACTTTTTGTCTGTAGTTTTCGTTTTTTTTATTAAATCAAACTTTTAGTTGTTATTTGAGATAAGAACTGGATTATTTTCCTGAATTCTCTGGTCAGTTTGACAGTTTTTATTGGACCTGGTGAATGTGTCTCTGTTTAGTGTTTGTGTGTTTATTTGGTTCTTAAGTGAGTGGGATAAATCTTATTATTTTGGAGGGAGTGAGTGAGTATGGTGTGTAAATAATGGGTGAGTGTATAAGTGTGAGGCCTCCATTCCTCCTTAAGCATGTCTGTCTTGTGTGGGTGAGAAATGTGGGTAGGTTTTTGATTTGATTTTTTATATGTTGTTAAAAGATTTTCTGGGTATTGTGTTTTTAGACGTTGTATCCACTTAATGGGACTCTAAAATTTTTCTAATGTTATCTGCTCTGAACTTTTCTATTCTCTCAATTATAAATCTGGCATGGGTTTTTCGTGTTTTTCGAAATGTTGTTCTAAGGTAATAACTGTTCAAAATAATAATTATTAATATATATATATATATATATTACTTAAACATTATTTTAGTGGATACTTGTATTTGAATAGAGGCTCCGTTTATTTATTAAATACTATATTTATTTATTTTCATCTATTCTGCCTGAATATTTAAGAAATCTTATTAGACAAAAATATGCGCTGAGCACGGGAAATTTTTCTCTAAGATTTCTCGAATGTTCATGTAATAAAAATCTGTTCGATAATAAATAAATTCTCTCCTCTCTTTACACGCACATCTAGCTACAGAGGAAAAAATGGTAGAGCATGTCAGGCCAAATGACAGTTCCATGTAGGATACAGGTTCAATTCCTTCAGAAGAGACTTATTTTCTATGATATTTCTCAGACATTCAGGCCGGTAAATGTAGTTAATATTGTTTATTATAAAGAGAGCTTTTACTTAAATATGTTTATCTATAAAAATAACATATAAACAGAAAATGTATTAAAATAATTGTCGAACTTAGTCCATTTCATAATATATATATATATATATATATATATAATTCCTGTAGTTCACTGCTACTAACAATCAGAATTTTTTTTATCCTGATGATGGCCATGCTAGCCGAAACTAGTCAACGAATCTAATTGAAATAATAAAACAAAAAAATATTAATATACGACCCAGTGGGTCTGAAAATTTTAATTTTTTAATTTCTCAATTTTTTTTTGTTCAAAACATATATATATATATATATATTGGAATCATATTTTTAAATAAATAATTATATTTATGCTCTACTTTTGTATGGAGCACAATTTTTAAAAAATAATAACTAAAATACTAAGGAACTTTGGATTATTTACCTAACCAGTTCCTTCCTATTTTCTATATATTTTCACATATTATTGGCTCTCTTATTAGGGTCGAGCACTCTAAACCTTTATTTTTAAATACTCCTTTAAAAATATGGAAAAAGTTAATTTCAGGATTTCTCTGAAAAACATTCCACAAACAAACAAACAAACGGAATTATTTTGTAAAACTTTTTACAAAAACAGAGGAATTAATTAGAAGGAGCGAGTTGGAATCATATTTTTAAATAAATAATTATATATATATATATATATATATATATATATATATATATATATATATATATATATATACACACTTACATGTATTGTTTACTAATATTTAAGACTTGTTTGAATTTAAATGTCTATTTTATTTTTTCACAAAATTAGACTTACATGTGCTTGTATGCTTATATTTCTTTGTTTTTGAATTTATTTTTTATCATGCCTTTTATCTTAGGAAATTCAGTTTAACCAACGTTTTGCCTTTTCTTTTTCCAGGACTGCTTATCCATTACTCTTTGTTCATCCGTTCCTTTTTTTTTCCTTCCTTTACCATTTCTTCTTTACACGTCAGTCTTTCCTTTTTTTCTTCAGTTTTATAGACAATGTAGAATCACTGCTCCAGGCTCTTTTGCTATTGTGATTTCTTCTTCTTCTTCTTCTTCTTCTTCTTCTTATCTATTGCTGACAGATCCAGTGGTATGTCCAAAGACTGTGGCAGCAGCAGCAGCTGCTATGAAGACAGGCTGACAGAGAGGCGTGCAAAACTGTTCTATGACACTGTTAAAGAGTCTTTGACTGAGTGGAGCATTGATTTGCCACTGTGATTTTCTGCAATACCATTCCACTTAGTGGCACCAACAATTTTTTCTTCTCAAAGATTCTTTCTCTTCTTCCGCTTCCGTTTTTTAAATTTCCTTTTATCTTTCTACCTTCATATCTATTTACTTACCTGAACCCGCCAGCAATTTTTTTTAGTGAGGGATGGGGGTATCCTTATGTATTTGGATAGATGTGGTGTTTTAAGCTTAGCCAAGTGTGGCATAAGGCCAAAAATATATGGCTCCCGTTAAAGATCAAACACTCTACACTTGTAATGATTAGTGAGAATAGCCTGCTAACCATGATGACTCACCAACACTTACTAAGCTTAGCTAAGTTAGTCGACTCAATGAGGATTAAACTCACTATTTTTTAATATCAAAATAACACTCTACATTTTTTAAAATTTCACAATATTTTAAAGTATCAAGTAGGAATCTCCTGATGCTTTGTAATCTTTTCTCAAAAATACGAGAAACATTTGACTCAATGAAACACACATTCATATCATATTTTTCTTCTATGTGCCATATTCCTTCAGGACGTTGACGATCATGACTCTCCACAATTTGTATCTCTTAAAAAATTTTGTCTCTTTGCTTTCCTAAACCTTCTTCCACCATCCATTTACTCAAGCTTGATTGTCAGGTTATGTGTTGTTTTCTTTCATCCCTCGTGTCTTTGATCTGTCTTGTCAGTATCAAATTCTCCAAGCCTTCTTTCCTCATTATGTGCCCTAGAAATTTAAACTATCTCTTCCTGGTGTTAAGCATAAGTGCCCTTTTTGTTTCCATTTTTTCTAAGATTTCCCCATTACTCACATGTTCAGTCCATGTTGTTCTCAACATTCTTCTGTAGAAACAAATTTCTCTTGCTTCAATCTCCTCTTCATTTGTGAGGAGATTTCCCAACACTCACTGTCATATAGGAAAACTGATGTTACATAACAGTTCAGTGCTCTTTTCTTTCTTTCTAATGAAAATCTGTTTCTTAGTACTTTGCTTAGCATTTGGAAGGCATTATTGCTATCCCAATGCGTCTTCAGATTTCTATATCACACTTTCCGTCCTCTGTTAAAATGCTTCCCAGATATTTAAATTTTTGTACTAGTTTGATTTTAGTATCTCCAATTTGTAATTTGCATGCTGGGTTGAGATTTTCCAGCATTCACTGCCATATAGAAGGACTGCTATTATAAAGGGTGTTCCAATAAATTGGACTGATTTTAAATGTGAATTAAGTTTAAGTGTCTAATGATTTTTTTCTTTTTCTTTCAGATTTGGTGGAGATTTGGATGATATTATTTTTTACACATAATTGCCCTGATTTAAATAACATAATCCAATAGAAAAATAAATAAATTTTCATCAATAACACTGATTTATTTACTGCTGATTTTGATCCATCTTAATGAAACACCCTTATATATAATCCATCTTAATGAAACACCCTTTATAACAACTATTATCTACTCTCGATTCCTCTTCTTTTATTGTTCTTGTTCATTAACAATGATTTTCTTTTCCTTATTCTTTCACATTCAGTAACCCCTGATGACTTAGAGACTTTATTGCTTTGGGTTAAAAGATTAAAAATAAAACTCACACAATTACAAAGTGTTGTTGGTGACTGAAAACATGAGGAAGTTTACATTTCCTGCTTATTATCAGAATTTAAGTTCAGATTAAAAGCAAAGAATTCTTTTCCCAAGCATTGTATATATATACTTTTAACTCTCACCTAGTAATCTTTGAACTTGACTACTGCTAGTGTAACAAAAATGCTAAAAAACAGAAATTGACCTCTAAGGAGAATAAACATAGGCCTAACCTCTTTGTCTTACCAACTGATTTCACAGTAATTATTAATCAGTGTCAATTGAATTATATTTTCTAACTATTTTGTAAAGTTTATTGATTTTAATGATTTTTCGTAATAATAAAGAAAACAGAATGATGTGTTTTTAATATAATTTATATAATTTAAATTATATTAAAATAAATGAAAACTATTTCTGCTTGCTTATACTTTTTAATTGGTTGTATTAAAATAATTTAGAAAATACAGATAAAATTAATAAAATCATATTTAATTTTATTCTGAAATAAACATTAAAAGTTAGAAAAATTATAGTTCTTTGATTTGGTTTCAACCTGTAATTACATAATTTATTTAGTTGGTTTATAAAATCTATAAAATTCCAGTTCCAACTCCAGTTTGAAATTAAATTGTGGATTGCTTCACTTTGTCTGCCAATAGGTGATATGGTACATTGGAATCCCAAATTAATGGAGTTGCTTGGAAAGAGAGAAGAAATATCATGGCATTCTCCACTCTCTAAGGCCCATATTAAACATTAGTATATCAATAATTTACTGATTTTATATATACAGTAGAATATACAAATATGTTATAAAAAACGTTATGCTTAAACATATAAATATCAGACCACAATTTTGGCTTAATAAATGCCAGTCTGATCAGGACAGGAAAAGATTCCTTAATTAGAAAATACATTGGAAGTGCACTGATCTCAGAGTTACCAACAATAAACCTAAGACCAGGACCTTACATAATATCACCAATCATCACAAAAGCAATAATAGAACAATGTGGTATATGCATTAGTAGAGAATAAAAAAGATCTACTCAGATGATTTAAAATCCAGTAGACATCAACAGCTCTAAAGAGTGTACTACTAGATTGGCTATTAGGTCTCACCATTTTACTGTTGAACTAGTTCTTCTATTCTAATAGTTTCTTTTCTTGCACTCCTTACCTATGTAATTTATTTCCAATTTCTTGCTTCCCTGCCATCTACAATTTTAAAATACTTAAATGCAACGTGAATCACCATCTTTTGTCTTCTTGAGCCCTTTTCCTTTATTGTCTTTTCCTTACTTCTCCTCATTAAAGTCTTCTCATTCTCTTTCAGTCCGTGTGAACCTCTGTGTCCTAGTGGCATTATTGCCTTACTTGGGGTGAAATGATTATATATATATATATATATATATATATATATATATATATATTGTTTTTTTAAAATATATATAATCATCGCAACACTGGGATTCCCATGCTTCAAAACTGAAACTTCAATTCAAATTCAATCTTAAAAATGAAATTTAAAATACAAATAAATTAAATATAATATCTTAAGTTGGTATGAATAAAAGTATAAATATTAAAAATGTGACTAAATAATATATGAATGCCACTTTTTTCAAAAGGAGCATTCAAATAAAAAATTAAAATTAAATAAAAATTAAAAATGCCAAATGTATTGCTATTGAAATCCAGACAATATATTGGAACATAGACACTACCACAAATTTCTACTTGAAAAAAGGAAGTTTGTATCAATAGACAGATACCCCAACCCTCAACTTGACTTGACTGACTTGATAGCTACAATACATTAGATACATAAATTTCATAAATAAGTTAAATCTTAACACCCCTAAAATAAAAAAAATGGAATTTTCCTTAACTCCAACATCTCAAAATATCAAATTTGTCTGAACATATAAATTAAATAAATCAGTTTCTAAAAAGTTATTCTTAGCATCGCTTCATAATAGAACGGAACTTTGTATTTTAAGTTTAATTTTTATGATTGAATTTGAATTGAAGTTTCAGTTTTGAAACATGGGAATTCTGGTGTTGTGATGATTATATATTTTTAAAAACCAATTATAATATTATATTCTATGGTTGTATTGAGCACTGTTTTTTTTAAAATAAATTCTAAGAAATCTGAATTATAAATCTCATTGTTCTTTCCTATTATTTTTTTATATATATATATATATATATATATATATATATATATATATATATAAAAAAAAGAAAGAACAGTAAGATATATAATCTGGCGTTCTTATAGATATTTTATTTTTACAACGTGAAACGTGAATTTAAAACCCAGTAATTTTAAAAGTTACTCCAATATTCGCTTGAGGAGGAAATGGAACTAATGTCTTTAATTTAATCACAAAATTAAATTTGGAGCTTTCAGCTTCCATTTTTGAAACGTGGTTAGAACTGTGTAGCGAAGAAAAAACATATTTTAAATCAATTAATTTATAATATGTATATATATATATATATATATATATATATAAAAAAAACAACACTTTCTGGTTTTCTAACAAGCTAATTTAATTTATCTATCCTTCTATCCTTAAAAATCCCAACACATTTTCCTTACACTTTTTCATTCTGATCTGAGGAAGCAGAACCTAATACATACATCATTTATAAACTTTACTACTTTGTCTCATTATCTCCACATATATATATTTATCATAATTTGTTCAACACCGATAAACTGAAAGCAAGCAGTATATGAAAGGACAAATATAGAGAAAGTCTTACTAGGAAGAACATGGCTCGTCTGGCTTATATCTAATATGTTTCTTATGTCTTTTGTTTGTTTTTCTTAATCACTGCTGGCTTCTACATCTGACTCCCTCAAAGAGCTGATCAGCATCTATCATCAACCTGAGCTCTTGTCACATGACTCTCATGGCCATTTGAGATGAGGTAAACTCATCCTGCAAAAAGGGAGATAATCACTGCCTGCATCCCTACAAAATCCAAAACTCTACAGTAACAATTAGCATCAGGTTGAAAACATGCAGGACCATGCCAGTTGCTGAAACAGAGCATGTCAAATTAGAGAGATAAAACCATTGTTTAATAAAGTTGTCTCCCAATATTTTTATCTCCCAATATTTTTACTTGGAAGAACTTCATTATACATGGAGAATCAATAACTTCTTAACAAACCATCTATTTTGGTTTGTTTACATATATTGCTCAGACTTTTTCTTTAACATTGTTGTTTATAACACATTTAAGTTAATATATTCTGTTTCCCTTCAGGGTTTATAATTCACTAAGTGATTTTTCTTTCTGTTTTCCTCTGTTTTAACTCTTCACTGAGAACACACCAGTCAGACAGAATCACAAGACAGGGTGTTAAGGCTGCAGCAAAAATGGTAGAAAACTGAAGATTATTGGATAGAAAATGATAAAATAAAGATGAAGAAAATTCTTTAAACGATATATGGAATAATGACAAGTCTTCATCTCAGAACATTAGAAAACAACAAAGATGAAGAAAATAGTCTGTATAAGATATGGAATAACAAAATGACTTTATTTTAGAAATTCAGAAAAACAACAAAGATGAAGATAATAGTCTGCATAATATATGAAATTAAAAAGACTTAATCTTAGAAATCTTAAAAAATGTCTTCGTACTTATTATTTATATGTCAAATTGTTTTAATTTGCATAGGTTATATCAAGTTTGGCTTAAGGCTGAAAAAATCAATATTCATTTCAAGTGATTGCAAACTGAGTATAATCATCCCTGCGCAAACTCTTCTATGCAAAAATGAGTTCATGTCTTTTAAGTTTAAACTAACTTTTCCTTCTCAAATTATTGATTTTTAACTGGTAACAGTCTGCTTAGTTATATTTATCTACTTCTGCCTTGGTATATACCTATTTATATTCATATACCTATCTATTTCACTCTGATTCTATTTCTGTAGGTCTCTCTCTCTCTCTCTCTCTCTCTCTCCATCTGTCTTTCCTGACTCTCAATAATATATCCAATATATATCCAGCAGGCTAATCAATTATTTTTTGTTTGCACTTATTTGTTCCAAATCTATCTATCTATCTATCACTATCACTTATCTACCTATCTTTCTATTACAATCACTTTTTATTTATCTACTTATCTAACTATCTTTCTTAGTTTTTTCATAGCTAACTCTTTTCATGTCTGTATTGTCTGTTCCTGTTTATCTATCTATCTATCTATCTATCTATCTATCTTTCTCAATCTGTTTGCATCTATCTATTACAATCTGTGCGTATCTATCGTTCTCAATCTGTTTATATCTATCTATCTATCTATCTATCTATCTATCTATCTATCTATCTATCTATCTATGTCAATGTGTTTGTATCTATCTATCTTTCTCAATCTGTATCTATCTATCTATTTATCATCTATTTATCTATCTATCTTTGTCAATCTGTTCGTATCTATCTATCTTTCTCAATCTATCTATCTATCTATCTATCTATCTATCTATCTCAATCTGTTTGTATCTATCTATCTATCAATCAATCTCATTCGGTTTGTATCTATCTATCTAAATCTATTTATAGATATTTACTCAACTTAGCCATTACAAGGCCAAGGGAACAAGGGAACAAGTTAGTGAGTGAGAACATTGTATTTTTTCGCTTATTCTCTCTCACCCACTGCTTTATCTTCATCCATTTCTCCTCTTTTTTATTCATTTCTTTAATGTGTCCCCCCCACCCAATTCTACTCTCTTGTTTTCCTTTTCTCTACAGGGCAAAAAAAATGAGTTCTTTTTATACAAGCCAAAAGAAGGAATTTTGCTTTCTATTATAACTTCACCCTCTCTCCTTCTTTCTCTCTTTCTGCTCTCTCTCTCTTTCCGCTTTTTTTTGTTATCTTATCCCTCTCTCTCTTTCCCACCTTTCTTTCTCTCTTTCTCCCTCTCTTTCTCTCTTTCCCCCGTCTATCTCTCTCTTGTTTCTTTCCTATGTCTGTAAGGCATTCAATTTCGACATGATGCAAAAGTTGTAGAAAACTCTCTATAAATAAAAAGCAAAAAAAAAAGAAAGAAAGAAAGAAAGAAGAGGCTTCAGGTACTTTTTGCAATATGGTTCCCGCATTTTAAGTTCCCTGCCATCTACCTATACAGATTTTTTTTCTACCCACCCACACTCACCTGTTTATTGAATTATATGAAAGGAAAGAACATTTATTATTCAATTTCCATTTATTGGGGGGAGGGGGGAGTTCCAGGGAACTTTCCATGAAATTACTCCTACTACTGACGTTTGATACACATCAGATATCCTCAACTAACAAAACAATACCAAAAACAACAAATAAATAGAATTAAAGCAAATGGATTGATTGATTCGTCTTTTACGGCTTATCAACCCTTTGAAGGTTATTTAAAGCCAGAAAATATTTTAGATTGTAAGATTTTTTTTTTTGGAGATAGTAATGACTTGGTGATACAAGTCTTACTAATTAACCCATAGCTAGGGTAAGAATATACAAATTCATACCTTGTAAGTGAATATTGCAAACCCAATGGGAATTGGAACTCGGCTCTGCAATTAACAATTTAAAGCCATTATCTATTACACCACTTGCACATCAAAGCTTACAGCACCTGGTATTTCCAAGTGGTTGCCAATCTAGGTACTGACCAGGCTTGATGTTGCTTAACTTCAGCAAGTGCCATACTAGAGTAAACTTAGTAATCAAAGTGCCTTACTGTGGTTAGCAAGCGACTGTTCTTTTGTCTATATGCCATGTTCTAAAAAGACAGTGATGATGTCTCGCCACAACTTCACATTGCTCTAATTAACTTGTGACCCTTTACCATCCCATTTTGCTAACTATCCATTCACTAGGCCCTCTTTTCTTATTATATGTCTCAGAAATTTCAACTGTCTATTTTTGATTACAAATATCAGTTTCCTTGTAGTTCATATTTTCCTTAAAACTTCCTCATTGTTTACATGTTCAGCCAGTGTTATTCTCTGCATTCAACTATACACCTACGTCACTGTCTCTTTCTGATTGTAAGTATAAGGTTCCTTGTAATTCATATTTTCCTAAAAACTTCCTCATTTTTCATATGTTCACTCTGTTATTCTATACATTCAACTGTTTCTTTATGATTGTAAGTATAAGGTTCCTTGTAATTCATATTTTCCTAAAAACTTCCTCATTTTTCATATGTTCACTCTGTTATTCTATACATTCAACTGTTTCTTTATGATTGTAAGTATAAAGTTCCTTTTAGTTCATATTTTTCTTAAAACTTCCTCATTGTTCACATGTTCAGTCTGTGTTATTCTATACATTCAACTATAGACCTACATCACTGTTTCTTTCTGATTGTAAGTATAAGGTTCCTTGTAGTTCATATTTTCTTTAAAACTTCCTCATTGTTCACATGTTCAATCCGTGTTATTCTATACATTCAACTATAGACCTACATCACTGTCTTTTCTGATTGTAAGTATAAGGTTCCTTGTAGTTCATATTTTCCTTAAAACTTCCTCATTGTTCACATGTTCAGTCCATGTTATTCTATACATTCAACTATAGACATCACTCTCTATTTCTGATTGTAACTTCCTCATTGCTCACATAAGCTGAATAAAGTTTTTCCACATTTTTTTCTGTTTCATTTGAGCAGAGTAAAGTGTTAATAAACATAAAAATTTAATTAGAAACAAAGAAAAGAGTACTGTACAGTCGTCTTATATGGCAGTGAATGCTGGACAATTTCCTCATTAATGAAATAAAAGAAATGTGGTTCTACAGAAGGATGATGAGAATATTATGGACCAAACATGTAAGCAATGACAAAGTTTTAGAGAAAATGGAAAAGAAATGGACACTTATACTTAATATCAGTAAGAGATAGTTGAAATTTCTAGAACCCGTAATGAGAAAAACAGGCATGAAAAATTTTATGCTCACAGGGCGTATTGATGGCAAGTGGGAGAGAGGAAAATAATGTATAACCTATCTAGCAAGCCTGAGTTATTGGATACCAGAACAGGGTTTAGGAGAGATATAAAAAAGACACAATTAATTAAGAACTACAAAGGATAGGAAATTGTGGAGAGCCATGATTGCCAATGTCCTGAAGGGACATGGCATATACAAGAAGAAGATAATAAGAGTAATATCAGAGTCAAGAATATTTCATCAAGGTCTCTGTATATTTCTAAGGTATCATGGATTTCATCTTACCATATGAGCTGTGATCCTTACCACTGACCTTGCAGGAATTACCTGCAACTAAAGATGCTTTTATTCTCAGCTGTTGCACGTGCCAAACAGTGGATGGAAATGTTGTGGGGATAGGGTTAATGCTTGCAGGAGTGAGGGAATGTTTGTTGAGCAAAGAAAATGTCTGACATTTAAAAACTTTAAAAAAATACACACATTCTTTAAAAAAAAATAATAAGATTAAAAGAAAGCTTTTTTTTTATATTATTTTGATTTATTTTTGCAGCTGCAGAAAATAAGAAAAAATAGCAGAAAAGCTTGATTACCAGCAAGGTTACCTTGCACTGACTAGTTTAAAAGAATTTTCTTGATACCTTAAATTTTCCTTCAATAATTTCTTTTGTCAGTGCAACATTAAAAATTAAATTTAATTACTGTATATTTCCGTGTATAAGACAAGCTTTAAATCCCTTAAATCACACTTAAAAATTGGAGGTCATCTTCTACAAGTCTAAAAAATATATCAGTGCTAATAAAAAAAAATTATTCAAAAATATTAAACAAATAAGACTATTTTTTACAGTCTAACAATTGAAGAATGATCTTATTGGAATGAAAGAGAGAATTCAATTTGATCCTAATTTTCTGCAGTAATAAATTAGGATCAAATTGAATTCTCTCTGACCTTGCACTGAAAGGAATGGTAATATAAAGATTTTAGCAATACCATTTCATTTCTTTTAACCCATACATTTACTTCAATTCCTTAAAATCTCACAAAGGAAACTAAGATTTAGAGATTTAAATGGTGTCTCATTTTATGAAGGAATATGCAGTTTTTGTTTCTCAGGACAAGTAATAGGCCAGCCAAGTTCAAATTGATGTTTGATACATACAATTTTTGCAAATACACAGGAGAAAGATATGAATCAATCTTTTCTCCCTCAGCTGTGGGTTAAATAATTAGCAAACAGTCTAAGAGAAGGTTGGTCATGGGACTAGCAGCCCCATCCTGTAAAAAGCTACTTACTGCAGAAACCCCAGCTGCAACATAGCATGGTGAAAGTGTTGGCCTTATACTCTTCAGTGAAGTTTATAGTGATTTTCTAAGCATAGCTTAGATATGACACAAGGCCGAAAGTATGGAGCACCCAGTGAGGATTGAACTCACCACTCAGTCATAATTGTTCAATGGAGTTTACGGGACTTAAGTGAAAATCATTTTATGAATAATGTGATGGCCTAGCGTTGATGACTTTGCATCTTAGCGACAATATCGCCTTGCTTGGGATGAATTGATTAAAAAGAAAACTGTTGTTAATGGATTTTAATATTGATCTATTATTAAAAATTAAATGGAATTTATAGATTTATTTTTAATGACCTCAAAAATATTACAACTGAATCATTGGAAAATAAAGTTGAATTATTTTATCCATCTATCATACTGAAAAGTTCTCAACCTGAATCATTTCCCCAAATCTGACCCCCTTTCTTGAAAGCTAACCCAAAAATCATCATTATTGAAAGTTCAAAAGTATATATATATATATGTATAATGGACACTCCCATCATTTTCACTGTATGAAAGACCAGTGGCTCAGTTCTTAGAACAGCCAGGCTATTGGTACGTTATGATTTGATTATAGGGGTGAAGGATGGTTCAGAACCAAACACACTTTTTGGAAAAACCAAATACAATAGAACTGGTGAACTCAGTGCTCTACAAAGTCACTAAATTTCCCTCTTGGATTTGAATTCCAAGTGGCCCTTCTCAACTGGTTGCCAACAAAGGCTAGGTGTCCAGTCTGGCATACTATTTAAAGCATAGATAGGAGTAGCTGAAGAGATGGATTCATACCTTTTCCAAGGGTATTTACACCTAAGTGAATGTAATGAACCCAACTGGAATTCGAACTTAGCTTTCTGATTTCTCATTCTGAGCTGTTATCCATTAAGGATGGATATATATATATATATATAGTTAAGTTATGAAGAACTTGGTAATCCATATGGGTAATCCCAAGAAGGATGAAATCCTGAGAGCTCAATGTAAATCCAGAGCTAATATTTAAAAGAAAAACAGACCACTTTAAGGTACCATTATAATAATTTATATATATATATATATATATATATATATATATATATGAAGAAATATAGTCTTAAGATATGTTATATTTATGGGATAAAGTGCTCAATATCAGAGATAGAGTGTGTGTAAATATAAAAGTGAACATAGAAGTCAACACTTAGAGGTACTCGTGGCCTGAGGATTGCATCAAGCATGAAACAGACTGTCGCCTCTAAGTGTTGACTTTATAATCACTATTTATATATATATATATATATATATATATATATATATATATATATATATTTTTTTAATCAGTATCACAGAATGCAAAGCATTAAAGCCACTAAGACATAAGGGGGTTACAAGATGTGAATAAATTAGGAACAGAGATATTAATAATGAATGGAAAGAGAAAATAGTAATAAGGAGGACTGTAAATAGGAATTGACATTGCATTTAAATTTTTGGAGATTAAAGTTGGCTGGAAAACACGAACCTGGAAAGAAGTTCCACAAGTTAGAAGTCTGAGAAAAGAAACTGTTAGTGTAGAATTTATGACTACATCTAACCAGTTTAACTGTAAATTGATGGGATCTTGATGCCAACCTAGTACTGTACTTAAATTCAAAAAATCTAGGTACCATAGCAAATAGCTCATCTGACCAATTACCATGAAAGTATTTATAGAAAACCCACAGAGAGACAACCTTACAGCAGTGGGAAAGTGACTGCAGCTGAACTGCCAAATCAGGACCAATAATATTGCTGATTCTTTGGATATTATTAAGGAGCTCAAGGTAAATGACAAAAATTAAGCTTGGATATCTACGGAAGTTTTATCATTTTGTTATTTTTCTTTGGAGTGAAAAAACGGAGCTAAGAAACAGAGACTACACTTTAATCTCATGCAATAGGCATTTAACAACCTCTTTTTAAAAGGGTGAGATTTAAAAGAGAGATTAAATGTTTCATTCATCCTCCCAACAGCATAACAGCTGTGCTGTATTTTTACTGCTTAACCTTCTTTCTGCTTTTACTTTTCAGCCTCATTGTACTTGCATTTATTTCCATCATTCTTACTTATATTGATTTTCTGTAAAAATTCTATTTTCACTTTCACTTTCATTTTAAGATATTTTTTCTAATCATTTTTTAAGGAAGTCCTCTTTTCTTTTCTTCAACAAAGTCTTTTAAATGTTATTTGTTTTTTTTCACATTCAGCTCACTTGAGTACTGCTAACCTTTTGAAGCCACAATGCTGTGGCTAATTGCTCAGTCAAAGTGGGTTAATGTTCCTTCATAAAACTGATATCTTTAAATAAACCTACAGGATTTTTAAAACAATAAACAGAAAAATAATCATCTATATGTTAGATATGATTGTTATAATATTGTTTTATTGCTTTCTTCTAAACTCCTAGAACTGAAAATTCTTCCTGTCAGAATCCTTCTTGGATATTTATAAATCTACCATTCACCCATGCATTTGATATTGCTGCCATACCTAGACTGGTGTTCCTACAATGCACCTTGAGATTCTTCATAAAAAAAAAGGGTCTGTAATTTAATCGATCCTGACCTGGCATCTCATTTTCAGTCCAACGTGATGTGGCTTCCCTCTGTTTTTCCTACAAATATTTTCATAGCAATTGTTCTGATGAGCTGTTAAGTATGATATTAGATTGGCAAATAGGTCTCGACAGTTTTAATATTGAACTATCTCGATGCAACTGTATGTTCTATGCTAATAACTTCTTTTTTGGCAATTGTTGACTTTGGAACTCTAATCCAATTTCTTGCTACTCTATCACCTGCAATCTTCAAAAATTTAAATGCAACATCAGTCACCATCTTCTGTCTTCCTATATTTTGTTCCTTTGCTGTCTTTTTTCTTGCTTCTCTCTAAAGTCTTCTCACTCTCTTATAAACCCCTGTGTCTTAGTGTCATTATCATCTTGCCTGGGGTAGCATAATTAAAAGAAAGGATATAAGATTCATAATCTTCTAGCAAAGGATTTCAAGGTTGAAAATGAAAAAGATTAAATATCCATTTAACTTATACAGTAAAAACTCCAAGCCCATATTAACATTTCTCATTCATTTCCATTTTGCCTTTCACTTCCATTATAAAAGTGGAGCTGACAAAATTAATTAGCCAACTAATATCTGTGAAGACCAGCAAAGCTATTTTAACCCAGGCAGCAACAGGTAGCCTTGCTATTAACACTTAACTTGAATGACACTCAGAAAGAAAACTGGTGATGCTTAAATTAGATTGATAATATTTTTCTACAGGGAATAACAGCCAAAGTGAGAGAAGATAATAATGACAATTATAATTACCATGGGGAATAATAGTGAAAGTGAAAGTGAAAGTGAAAATAGTAATAATGGAACCAGTCAATAGAAATGAAAGAGAAAATAAAAGCAAATATTTAGATTCCATGAATGTAGATGAGTTATGATATGTATATCAAACAAACAACTTTGATTATCTAATAAGATTAGCATTCAGCATATTTCAGACTAATCAATAATTGAGTAAATTAAACAGCAACTATTAACCACTTCTATAGAAATCTATATTTATCAATTAATTTATCATGGATCAACTAATACAGCTGTGCAGTTAGACTTCAGGACTGAAGGCTGCAGGAACTACAGTCACTTTCAGCAATCAGTACATCTTTATTGAACATAATATTTATTGGAAACTAGCTTAAAAGCTGCAATCTGTGTGAACTTCTGAGCTAGCTCCTATGAAGGGCTAATTGGGTCTCCAACACAAAACTAAAGGGACCTTGGGTCCAGCTTAGAAAACAGCAATGATAATTTTGAAGAAATGACTTTAAATTCCTTAATTCACTCAATGGGACTTGAAAATCTCATTTTAACTCTGATTCGGGCTATAAGTCCAGTTCCAGCCAAAAGTCCAATTTGGGCCGAAGGTTCAATTTGGGCTGAAGGTTCAATTTGGGCTGAAGGTTCAATTTGGGCAGAAATTCAGATTTAAGTTGAAAACTGAGTTCTTCCAATTACAAACACTGTGGAACTTCAATTGAGTTGTGTTCTTCAAATCACAACCTCTAGGGAAATTGAAAGCCTCACATCATGAAACCTCTCAGTTTAAATCTGATTTCTTTGCATTTTAAAGAAATAAGATTGATTTCCTCAATTCACAAACTTTTTGAGATATTTTAAACTGAATTTAAAACTTTTGTTTTAAATTCACAAAGGTTTTTGGTACTTTAAATTCAATATAAATTAAAAGCTTTTAAAATCACCATTGGTTTTAAGTTATTTTAAAATTTGAATTTTTCAACTATTTCCTGCTCATCCTGAAACACATCTCAATGCTGGATGTTCATGCACCAGATGAAGGGCAGATTTTCAACCTTCCTGATTCCAAAAAGGTATAATATGTCAAATATATATATATATATATATATATATATATATATATATATATATATATATATATATATATATATATATATCCATAAATATAATGAGAATAGAAATAGCATAAATTCTAATGTTCACAGTATTAATTCAAAAAAGGGCTCAGTACAAAGTGTAGAGCAATAATTATTTTTGTTTCTCACCAGTATATATAAATTAAATATATATATATATATATATATATATATATATATATACATATACATATACAGCATTTAACATTTTATGCAGAGCACAGTTAGCCAAACACTTTCAAACCTGGAGGTACTGTATATAAAGTTACATTGACAGTCTCTGTGTAAACAGAAAAAAAAAACTTATGAGTGAAAATATTAGGAACTTATATATTTATATATATGTTTATTGCCATATTCCCTCTTTTTTCCTTGTTTTTTTTAATAACTTTCAATTTTAGTCATGGGTCCTCATTTAACCCTCCTGTTTATACTTGGGTTTTGCTGAATTTATTTCTTTTTGTTTATTTAAGAAGGTCCCAACATATTCTTCTTCTAAAGTGTTGGTCTAAAAAGATCCTTTAAAGAATGCATTTTTATATATTTAAGGCAATATATGTATGTATATTCCTATAGTTATATACTTTTGTATAAATGAAGATACAAGTATCAAATGCTGATGTGTTTTTAGCCTTACTCCATGACCCACTATCAAATCAAATGTCAAAGAATCAGAGATCTTTTTAATTCCTTCATGGTCAGGCTGAGAACTTTTTCAGCACCCACTCATAACTCTATATATATATATATATATATAAGTGTATATATATATATATATATTTGTATATAATTTGTATATAACTGTATGTTTATATCCATATATATATATATATATATATATATATATATATATATATATAAACATGTCAAAATGTGTTTGCATTGATTTCAATTGATCAATATGCTGAGCACACACAATTACACACACACAAACATGCACATCTCTATATATATATATATATATATATATATATATATATATATATATATATATATATATATATATATATATATATATATATATATATATATATATATATATATATATATATATATATATATTTCTTTCATATATAGAAACATGAGCAAATACATTTACTAGCATTGATTTTAATTTATCAATATTTGGAGCACACATCTCTGTCTGTCTGTATGTTTGTACATATATATATATATATATATATATATATATATATAAACATACTCACATGCACACAGACCCTCACACATACACACACACATATATATATATATATATACACAAAACTACTAAAACTAATGTCAGTACTTTACCATTATTTATTTTTATTGTTATTTTCCCAAGTCTTCTAAATCTTTGATATTAATGTGATAGTTACTGGATGAATCTTATTTTTCTCCTTTTACTAAAGAAAATCAAAACATTTTCTAATACACTGGCATCACCAAAAGAAAAAGACAGAATGAGATTTTCACAGCGAAACCATCTTAAGTCAAGATCAGCATCTTAAATAACAATACACAGACATGGCTGGCATTGACAAAGCACTGAACCTCTCATTCAAACAGTCTGAGGCAGCACAAACTCTCGGCTGATCCCTGATTTGAGTCCTCTATGCAACTGATCATGAATAATCTATATTGATCTGCTCTGAGATCTTGAGCCTCTATATGATTTTTCATTTTTTTTTACCTATTTGTTTTTTGACAAAGCCCAAGGTATATGGGATGTCTCCATTCTTTAGTTGAACTCTCTATGATCCATTTACTTTTTGAAAAATCATTTGAGCTTAGTTTCCAAAGGAAAATCTTTGAGAGCAACACACACAAAAAAGAAAAAGAAACATATAAGAAATAAAAACAAAAAACAGCAGACAAAATGTGGATGCATATCTTAATTTGAACAAAGATGTCAGTATGAATTTTAAGCTATATCAAGTATTGGCAAGATAGACAGACGTTTTTCTTTTTTCTATTTAATTTTTTTTTTTAAAGGAAAGAGAAAATAATCTTTCACTTATGAAGATTTTTGCTTGCAGTTGGTTATCTTTCAGTATGACCTAAAAGAAGGGTAAAAAAGAGGGAAGATATTGGAAGGGGGAAAGGAAAAAGATGAAGGAAAAAATATGAAAAAAATGAAACCTGAAAGAAAAGAAAGAAAGAAAGAAAGAAAGAAAGAGACACACAAACAGATGAAAAAAGAGAAATGAAAGAGAAAGAAAAAAGAAAAAGTATCAAAAGGAAGGAAAAAAAGAAGGATGATATTGAAAAGTAGATAGGAAAAAGACGAGGTAAGATGAATATGAACAAAAAATGAAACCTGAAAAAAAGAAGGGAAAAAAGAAACAAACATGAAGAAATGTAAATAAAAAAAATAAAAGAAAGAAAAAAGCAAAGAGGATATTGTAAAGGGGAAAGGGAAAATAATGGAAGAAGTATGTGAATAAAAAATTAAGTCTGAAAGAAAGAAAGAAAGAAAGAAAGAAAGAGGAACACACATGAAGAAAGAAAAGTGAAAGAAAAAGAAAAAATAATCAAAAGAAGGAAAAAAAGAAGGAAGATATTGAAAAGGTGAAAGCAAGAAGAATATGAAAAAATAAAACCTGAAAGAAAGAAAGAAAGAAAGAAAGAAAGAAAGAAAGGTGTAATGGTGAAGAAGAATGTCAATAAAAAATGAAGCCTGATTAAAATAAAGCAAGAAAGAAAAAAAGAAAGTGAAACAAACATGAAAAAGAGAGAGAAAGGAAAAAAAGAAAATAATGGAAAGGTAGAAGAAAAAATGGGGAAAAGAAAATGGGGAGAAGAATGTGAAAAAAGGAAACTTGAAGAAAGAAAAAAGAAAGAAAGAATGAATGAAACAATAAAAGAAAAAACATGAAGAAAGAAAGTTGAATGAAAAATAAAAAGAAAAGTAATCAAAAGAAAAAAAAAAAGAAAGAATATATTGAAAAGAAGAAAGGTTAAAGGTGAAGGAAAAAGAATAAGAAAAAAAAAACCTGAAAGAAAGAAAGAAAGAAAGAAAGAAAGAAAGAAAGAAAAAAAAAGCAAAACAAACATGAAAAAAGAGTAATGAAGGAAACAGAAAAAAAATAAAATAATTAAAAGGGAGAAAAAAAAGGAAGAAAGTTATTGAAAAGGGGGAAGAAAGATTAGGGAAGAAGTATATGAAAAAAAAACTGAAAGAAATAAACTAAAAATGAAAGAAAGAAATAAAAAGAAACAAACATGAAGAAAGGAAGGTGAACAAAAAATAAAAAGAAGAAAAGTAACCAAAAGAAAGAAATAAGAAAAAACATGAAAAAGAAAGAAGAAAAAAAAACAGAAAGGGAAAGAGAAATAGAAGAAATTGTGAACTACATTATGAATAAATATAATAAAAGGAAATCAGAAAGGAATAAAAAGCAAAAAAAAAAAAATGACAAAATAATTGAAAATAATTTTTTTTAAACTATAAAGAATAACCAGCATATGACATTTCATGGAAAAATCAATCATATATTGTCAGTCAATTTTTTTTTTATAGGAAAGGAAACCAAAGAATGATAGTACAAAGGTCTTTGAGATGAAAGAAACTTAGTGAAAAAATTATAAGTCTTGATCTGTGTACAAAAGAGCAGGGAATTTTCCCTTGTAGAATCAGAAGCAGCTGCTAAGACAACATGGCTATTAATAGAAGAAAGAAATGTCTTTTTTATTTTGTCATTGCTTTTGCATTAACTGCTCAATTAAGTTGTTAAATCTAAATCATAGACCTTGAATAAAAAGAAATGCACAGACTTCAGCTTTTTCTTTCTGATAATGTCTTTTTTTCAATTTTGTTAAGGACTTAACAAGTGGTCGCAGATATTTTCCAAGTAAGCGCTATACATTATGCTTTTTTTCCCCAAGAATATGGTAACAGCTTTTTGCTCTCAGAACTGCACTGAAGATTTTTTTAAATTTTTCTGGAGAAAGCAATCCCCAACAGTGTGATTGCTTCTAGGAATCAGACAGGCTAAAAACACTTTCTCATTTTTTTGTTGGATGCATTTTCAGACATACCAATACAAAGTTCACACCATGCCAGACAGAAAAATATGTTTTTTTAAACTTTTAGCTTTTAAAATTCTTAACCATTCACTTGTTTGATTTTTTTCTTGTTAAGATTATTTATAAGAATCCTTTTTAAAGGTTCAAACATATAAAAATTCTTCTTCTTCTTATTATTATTATTATTATTATTACTGTCAGTCTATTAATATCTACCTAGGTCTTATCATATCTTCCTCTGTGCATTCATTATCTATCTATCTATCTATCTATCTATCTATCTATCTATCCCTTCATTATGTATCTATCTTTGTCTTTTCATATCTATTTTAGCCTTTTCATATCTATCTATCTATCTATCTATCTATCTATCTATCTATCTATCTATCTATCCCTTCATTATCTATCTATCTATCTATCACTTCATATCTATTTTAGCCTTTTCATATCTATCTATCTCTTCATTATCTATCTATCTATCTATCTATCTATCTATCACTTCATTATATATCTATCTTTGTCTTTTCATATCTATTTTAGCCTTTTCTTTCATATCTATCTATCTATCTATCTATCTATCTATCTATCTAATTCTTCCTTATCTATCTTCAATATTCATTCATATTTATATATAGGATTATGTTAATTTCTCTCCCCCCCCGCCCAGATTGTGTCTCCTATCTTAATTTCATTTTGTACATCTCTTTCTATCAATCTCCCAATTATTCTATCTTTCTCAGGTTTGGTGAGTGTTTTTATTTTTTTTCTCTTTGCCAATCTATCTAACCCTAACAAAAATAAATAAAATATAAATAAAATAAATGAATTATCTGTGGTTTCTGTCAATTTTTTTTCTTGCCCTGTGCTAAAACAATGTCAAGGCTGGTAGATATTTTCTTAATAGCAGCAGAGAATCAACTCCAAAAACAATAAAAAAAACGGAACTTTCACATCAAATTATGTTTATTGTAAACCAAATCGAATTGACTAGTTGTCCGTATGTTTTTTCTTTCCTTCTGTGTTATAACCCTTGACTTTGTTTTAGCACTGATCAAACAATTATGTTTCACTTGATCATAGGCAAATCACCTGGTTCAACATAAGAGATTTTTTCCTTAATTTTTTGCTGATCAATATGAGATGGATTTCTGATCAAACCCTGTTTCTGTGTTTCCCACAAACCTGTTTTGAATTCCAGATATAAGAAAGGTTGTCATCATTCCAAACACTTGTTTTCTTTTCTTTAGTTCTACCGGTACATATTGTGACAACTGGGAGTCACCATGCTACCTTGACGGAATTGCATCACCTTAATTTTATGCCCAAAGAAGATATAAAGACTGTGTTATGCCAACAAACACTTCAGGAAGAGAAGGCCTGCCAGATTTTCAGAGAAATATTAGATTGTTCTTTTTGTCATTAAAAGAGGAAGATTTCTTTCCTACAGATACCATGTCAAAAGCCTACTCCATCATATTTCCATGGGAAATGTTGAAATGAGATCACCCTTTAGTTCCATCAGTTCACACCTTTATAGATAGGACACACCGTTCAACTTCCACAGAGTTAAGTCACTTTCATTTTCAAAAATGAATTCTATCAACAATTCCACAATGAATAATTCTAATGATAATAATTCCAATGATAATTCCACAATAAATTCTATCATTATTTCCATGGGTAATGTTGAAATGAGATCAACCTTTAGTTCCCTCAGCTCACACCTTTACAGCTAGGATGCACCATTCAACTTCCACTGAGATGAATCACTTTCATTTCATCTATCTTTCCAAATGTAAGGAGAAAGTTCTGGGAGAGGGTGTATTAAACCACTTTGTAGCAAATTTTGGACATTAATTGATTGATAGATGTGTGAAGTGATCTGCATAAAAGAAAGCTGTATATCTATCTGGTGGCTCTGGGAAGGATTTAGGGACAAATGGAAGGAGACAAACATTACTTTTTATGTAAATAAAGATTATATTGGTGTTTTTTTTTTTTGCATGATGAGTAATGTCAACAAATCCTGAAATATTTTTTATATATTCTTTTTTTAATTTTAGCCTGCATTTGTATGTCTATTTCAGTTTGTCTTCTGATCTTAACTGAACTGTCGCATTGGTCACTAGAGCCATCGCCATTACCATTGGGAACAGCATCATGAAGAACTGCTCACTTAACATCTACAATGTTATTACAATCATGAATATTTAAGGGACTCCTTTCTTCACCTTATCTGATTATGTATTGATGAGGCTGCCGACTTAGACTCAAAAATCAAAAATTAGTTTATCTGCGATTTTAGACAGACAAGATTGATGTGATAACTATTGTTGCAAGTTTGGTGATGGTGAATCATAATTATTCTATGAGACTAATATCCTCATCTTTGTATTTTTAGAATCACAGATCTTTCAATTGTTGCCATCTGCTGCCTTTCAAATGTTGTCTGAAATTCTTAGGCAAGGAATGGTGATTAAAGTATGAAAAGATGGGAAATTGTGGCAAGGCATTGATCATTCCACGTCTTGAAGGAAATTGGTTCATTACAGAAAAGTAACATAGATGAGAATATAAAGCAGCATAAAGTTGTTGATATCAAGAAAATACAATCTTCTTTTATGTGTTGGGGCTCTTCAGGATGTAGATGATCATATCCCTTCACAGCTTCCTGTCCCTTGTAACACATAATAAGGTTTGTCTCTTTGTGATAGCGGCTTGGATTGAAGAATCAGAGAGCCAACTTCGAATTCCAGTCGAATCTATTACATTCACTTTCATGCTAATACCCTTGGGAAAGGTATGAATCCTCCTCTTCTCCCCCCAGATATGGTTAAATAGCAGGACAGACCGGATTCTATAGCCTTGGATGGCAACTGATCTACTGTGGAAAGAAATGGCAACCTACTGCGGAAAAAAATCTGCCTTGAAAGATACATGATCGCCTAAGTGTGTATCACGTATGGCACATAATTGACTGACTGACTCTTTGTTATTTCTACCAAAACCTGTTCTACCATCGATTTGCTCAAGCTCATCGAGTATGTTACATGTTGCTTTCCTCTATCTCTCTTTTCCCTCAATCTGTCCTGTGAGTATCAGGTTTTCCAAGCCCCCACCCCCTTACTCATTACGTAACCCCAGAAATTTCAACTGCCTCTTCCTGATGTTAAGTATAAGCTTCCATTTCATTTCCATTTTCTCCAAAACTTTGTCGTTTTTCATCTGTTCCATCCATGGTATCCTCAGCATCTTTTTGTAGAACCAAATTTCTGTTGCTTCAAGTCTCTTCATCTTTGAGGAGATTGTCCAACATTCGTTGCCATACAGGAGGACAGATATCATGTAACAGTTCAGTACTAGTGTGAATTTATTGACATCATTTAAGATTGGCCAACAAGCACTAAAATATTTAAAAATAAGTGATCAATTCAAAATATAATTTTATACTTGAAAAACGTTAAGCTTAAAATAAAAGTGATAGTTTATGTGTTGTGCAAATTTCATGACAGACCCAAATCAATGTCTGTTAACTAAAACTCAGCTGTCCACCAACAGGATATATACTCAAAAAAAAAGATATCTATTAAAATAACATTTAGGCCAATAAAAAATAATGTTGGATAAAAAATAAAATTTGTTAATTCCATATCTATATCTCTCTCTCTATATATATATATAAATATATATATGGAATTAATTCCACACTGAATTCTATCGAGACGTCTTTCCCCCTCCCCAACATATACCTCTCTTCATCGATGTTTACAATCTCACTATTCCTATGACACACATTAGTAATAGTAAACTTGTCTAATACTTTTACACCTATCAAAATTTTAAATTTAGTTTATTTTCATAAAGTTTCGTACATCAATGAATCAAAAAGAGATCAGGTTTTTGCTACCAAAACGATTTTCCACTGGAAAATACACCGTCTACAAAAACATGTATCGGTAATTCCTATTTCTCTGTTTATTCCTTGGTCTGTTGATGAAGGACACAGGCGTGTCTGAAATTCCAAACTTAAAACCTTTCCCTCCGTGCTTCATTTGTGTCAAGTGGTTAATAATTAATATTTAATAAGTGTTTATCATAGTGATTATATTGGAATCCTTTCATTTGTCTTTGTTTTATTAATATCTATTTTTATATATATATATATATATATATATATATATATATATATATATATATTAAAGAAAAAACAGACCAGGGAGGGATTAATTTCATATCTCTAGAACTTGGTAATCCATATGGAGATATGAAATTAATCCCTCCCTAAACTCTACCATGTCTCTTTAACTACTCCTTTTACACTCGCTGTTAAATTATAAAAACTTACACTAGCCATCAATTTTAATTTCATTTTTCATTTCATTTTTGGAAGTGCTATCTGATGATCCAGCATCCTTTAAAAGGGCTCTGGTGAAATAAATTATTATAATGGTACCTTAAAGGGGTCTGTTTTTCTTTAAAATATTAGCTCTGGATTTACATTGAGCTCTCAGGATTTCATCCTCCTTGGGATTACCTATATGGATTATCAAGTTCTTCATAACTTAAATATATATATATATATATATATATATACATGTGTGTGTGTGTATGTGTGTGTGTGTGTGTGTGTATATATATATATATATATATATATATATAGACACACATAGGGTGCGATGGGTAAGTTGTCGCCATTTTTATATTTTTAGTTTTGTGCATAGAACATGTGCGTTATTTGTTTTTGATTGTCGTTTGCACAATATAGTAAGATGAGTTGGACACCGTCTGTGAGAAAAATGGCACCATGACGCAATTCACTCTGCCAGAAATTTGGAAACAGCGTACTGTACTGTACTGCTTAGCATTCGTAACAGAATTTCCAATACAAACATTACAGAGTGTTTTGGTGTCAATCTGAGGACAGTGCAGAGGTTTTGGAAAGGGCTGGATGAGTCTAATGAGGATTACAAAGATGTTTCGATTGGTCACTAGTGATGGAGATGTTATGCTTCCATTCATCTTCCCACAGGGCCTCAGACTCAACACGTAGGACTACATGAAGTGTCTTGACGGGGTAGTGCTACCCTGGATCAAGAGTGTGCTGCTAGAAGACAACAGGACTCTGCAACATGCCAGACAATCAGGAGAACCCAGTCATGACTGTCAGACAATTTCTTCGAACCCATCACCCCTTACGTCTGGCTACCTAACTCCCCAGACTGCAATCCCATTTATTATTATGTGTAGGGTGCAGTTGAGCAAGAGACCAACAAAACTCTTTGTAACACCAAAGATGAACTGAAGGCAAGGATTATGGCAGCATTCACCAGCTTAAACAAAGAGACCGTCCAGAAAAGTTGCAGGAGATTCCGAAGTCGTCTGGAGGCTGTTGTTGAAATCCCAATGGCGATTTTATTGCATAAATGTAGTCTTTCGTATTTCAAGATATTTTTGTGTAATTTTTGTAAATATATCTGTTAAAATGAAATGTCAGCATTATTTCCATTTTAGTGTAGTTTAGAAGACAATTTATCCATCACACCTTTACATATATATATATATATATATATATATATATATATATATATATATATATATATATATACTAGCAGTAGAGCCCAGCGTTGCCCGGGAATGTAAC